TGGCAGCTCCGTGCTGCCTCCGCAGTCTTCATGCGCTCAGGGTAGAGTTCCTGCTCCTGTTTGCCACCTCGACAGCAAAGAGCCTCTCTTCTCTGCCATGGGAGTGGGTGACACGCTCAGGATGCGAAGTCATGTAGGAGCATCTTTGAGTTCATAAACATCTCCTGTTCATAAATATCCAACTAATGGCTGAAGCTTCCACTGCTCTTAAAATAGCTTTGGATCCCAGCACAGGCATTTCCAAAAACAGGTTTTTATCCTTTCAAGAATTCTATGAAAGCAGAGAATCCTCTAGTTTGTATAACAGCTCTGGGGCCCGCGGAGCCGTGGCAAGCCCAGTAGCCCCGGAACCCTGCACGGCGGCCGCAGCTCGCTTGGTTCCTACCCAAGAAAGGCCCCTGAGCCTGCTCACACACTGAGCCCTGACTCTGCTCACACACTGTGGGTATAGACTGGTCTAATCTCCAGATGAGGGGGTATCTACTTAGTTTCATTATAATTATGTCACTCTCAATTCATCTCAACACAACATTAGATGACTCTGATCATGCAGTTCCCCAACACTTCTATTTAAAGGGCATTTTTCGCTTGTAGTGAATCTCGGGATTGACTCCTCAGCATCCATTTCAGGGCTGCATGATTACTCTAAGCCAATTAATTCCATCCCCTTTGCCAGTGATCGTCTCAGAGATGGAGCCTCCTAAGCCAATATGTGTCAGTAAAACCTAAGGAGAGGCTGCAGCTTCCAGAAAGAGAACCCATTCTCTCTCTCCACTAGTCTGTTACTGATAAGCATGTTACCCCAGCTGCTGCTGAAGTCCTCTCATGGCACCAAGGGACACGAATCTCAGGCTGAAGCCCTGTAAGGGTGGCAGAAGACAGAGACGGAAAGAACCTGGGCCCGCTGGTGTCATTGAACTACTGAATCAACTAGCCCTGAAGCCACCTCTGCTTCCTGCTGGTGAGATCATCCACGGAATAGTTTAAAACACTTTGAAGATGGGAGTTTTGTTATCTGCAGGTGGGAGCATTGTCACTGAGTCCCTGCCCTTCACTCCCCGGCTTCACCCTGCCGTGGAGGGTCTGACTGCCCAAGACTGCCCTCTGGGGAGAGCCGGCCTTGCCTGGGCTGGGCAGAACAGCTAAGCATGTTGCTCCTCCCAGACAGGAGTTTCCCATCTGCAGTGAGACAAGCACAGGCCCGGATAATTACACGTGATGCCCCTGGAAGAGCTCTCCTTAATTTTGACAGCAATAAAGGGCCTTGCCAGCAAGTTAAGCTAATTTCATGAAAGCACTGAGAGGAAGGTCATGGGCTGGATCCCAGATTATTAATAATGTTGGGCTTCATTAGAACCATTCAGGAAATTCCTCCCAGTTGCCTCCAGCAAACTGCCACAGGTTGCTACTTTGCTCTGAAATCAATAGTCTTTCCATATGCAAATGTGGATTTTGTGTTTTTCCCTAGAAAATAATTAAAGTCACAGAGCCCAATAAATACTTAAACACATTGTGATTTTAATTAAAAACCTTCCACCAAGGCTGCAGCTGCCTGTCTCTCTTCCCAAACAGACGCATGGTAACAGCAAAACTCAGAATGTGGGTTTAAGTATGTGAGACTAGAAATCTTTACAAATAACAAGAGTAATTCTGATTGCTACCTAGGCCATGGCGTGAGGGTGGGGAAGGAGGTGAAGAGAGACATTTAGGGGCAGGGCCAAGGTCCTTCCCCTCGTGGGGGAGGCAGGACACAAGTGTGTAGGGGCATGTGCAGCTGAACGTCTAATCATAGCCGTACTCAATCCTGCCAGGCAACAACGATGGCTAGCTCTAGCAATTGTTGAAAAAAAAATACTAGCTCATTTCTGAGCACTAAGTGCCAGCAAGCAATAAGATGTACTGGAGTATACGAGGAAGCCATTTGGTGTAAACCAATTTGGCCTGACTTAGTTTTTCCAAAAGGGCCTGACATGGCCATTGAGCACGCACTGTATATCCGCTTAAGCATTTGCTATGTCCCAAAGGCAAGAACAACGGCCCTTAAGATAAATGTGCAACTTCTCCCCACATGGGCATTTCCTTAAGAATAAGCATCTTTCCTTAGGCTAGGAACTGATTGCTGGGCTCACCTGTCACCACCTAGCTTGAGACAACAGAAGTGCCACCCTGTTGTGCCCACTGAGACAGCAGACCTACTACCTGCTGTGTCCATCAATCACTGTGCTGACAGAGCAGTCTTGCGGCTATTATAAAAGGGACGTTTCAATCATATGTGAAACATCCTTTTTGAGGGTATATAACCACTCTGTACACCCCACTTCTTTGGTGCCCTTCCTTCCTTGGGCCATGGTCCTCACATTTTGGCTCAGAATAAACTCACCCAAATTTTCATTAATAGATTGGTTATGGATTATTTGTGTCAACAATGGCTAGTTCTAGCTATTGTTGAAAAAAAAATAATAGCTCATTTCTGAGCCAGCTACTCAGTGCTTTGCATGCACTGACTGATTTAATCCTCACAGTAACCCAATAAAATAGGTATTCATGTTTATACTTTTTTTCTGAGGCACAGAGAGGTTAAGCAACTTGGCCAAGGTCACACAGCTAGTACTTGGTGGAGTCTGATGCTAGAACTTTTCCTCCTAACCACTATGTAGAGTGTATATGAGGGAAGAAGAGATGGAAGGTGGGAGGGGGAGTAGAAACAGGGACTGGCTTCCCAGAGGAGTGGGCTTTCTGCTGGAAATTAGAAAAGGAAAGCAGCTTCCTGGTGAAAGTGGTGGGAACGCTGTGTGAATGTGGGGGTAGGGGAACAGGACTGCAGACCTTGAAAGGTGGGAAGGGAGTGTTAGGAGATTCGGCTGGAGGCAGCTATGGGGAGGGTCTCCTGAGCAGGCTGCTATGCTGGGGATATTCGGTGCCCTGGGCCCTGGCTTTCTTACTTGCGGAGGCCCTCTCACATCCATTAAATCCCCACGCGCTACTTTAAACCCAAGGGCATGCACAACTCTGAGCGCAGTCAGCTGAACCGTTTACACAGCGTTCCATGTTGTAAACATTTCAGGAAACATCTGGTACTTCCAGTTTTGCGGTTTTCTTTACCCCTCTTAGAGCCAACAGATTTTCTTTTTCAGATTTTGGAATTTTTATAGGTCCCCGGCAAAATTATGAGACTTAAGGAGGACTGCCTTCCAGGGCCGAATACAGCAAGCGAAGAGAAGGGCTCACGCCGCAGGGGGTGGGGTAGGGGAGGTGTACAGGAAGGGTTCGTCCAGGGAAAACTAAACTCATTGGTTCCTGCCAGGGACTACTCGTTCAATGAGGATTCAGAGGGTGCCTGCTGTGCCCTGGGCGCTGGAAACAATGGGGTGCAAAGCGGCGGCTGTGCCTGTGTTGGCAGGGGAGAAGAGGTTGCCGATTCCCGGGACACAGGCTGGGTGGGCATGGGAAGGGAAGCTTCGGTGCTTTGGTTAAGCATCCCCCACTTCGGCACATTGCGCCGCGGGACTGTACTGCCCGCGGCAGCGCCCTCCTCGGTGCGGGCTCCACCGCGGCCCTCCTCGCGGAGCACCCCCGCAGCCATCGCCCCGGGCCTCCGCTCCAGGCGGGCGGTGTCCAGCAGGGGGCGCGCGCGGACCAGGCCTGGGCCCGAGACCTTGAGCGGACAGAGCCGCAGGAGCTGGCGCCGGGATCGCCTGGGTTTCAACCGGCCCCGCCTTGAGACCGTCCAGGTCCGCGAGGTCGAAGTTAGAGGTCTGTCCACAAAATGTTGCCCAGAGCTACAGCTCTCGGCCCCTGGGTCTGTCTCGGGTCGGAACCCCAGCCTGGTCAAAAAGCATTGGCCCGGATTCTGCAGATGCCGAATCTGGGGGCCCCGCGTTGACTGCTTAGAACCTTGTGTCCTTTCTCTCCCCACACCTACTTCCACACACCTGATAAGGTGCCTGTTCCTTTAACGATCAAAGACGTGGGCGGCCGCAGGGGTGGTATCTTGGCTCCCGGTTCCCCAGCTCGTCAATAATTGTGCCATTATTAACATTCTAGACGTTAGACTCGGTCCTGCGCGCCTGGCGGCGCCAGGCGAGCTGCGCTGTCTTCTAGCCGAGCTCGAGACTGAACCCGGAATCTTGGCTCCCACCCTAGTCCTCGGCGGACTCTGCCCGGGGCGACTCGGGCTGCAGCCCTGCCAGAGCAGGCACTGGGCTCTCCAGAGTCGAAGGCGGGGGTAAGGGCTGTCTTTCCCCCAAGGCAGGCTCCGGGAACAAAAGCGCTTGCTGAAGAGTGGGCGGGAGCCGCAGGCGCCGGCAGGAGTCGGCGCCCTCGCCTGGGTGGCCCCCTCTCCCTCGGGCGTCCTCCTGACGCCTGGAGCCCTGTCTCCCTGCCGAATTCCCTTGACTTCTGCATCTCCGGCAAGAGAGCAAGGGAAAGGGGTCTATATTGGCCCGCGGGCCCGGGAGGTCCCCAAGACACTGGCGGGGCGGGTCTCTGAGGTCCAGGGAAGCTCTCAGTGCAGAGTGAACTAGTGCGTTCTCCCTTCACTCCCCAGCCTCGGTCTTCCAGTCCCTCAACCCTTCCTAGTTGTCCCCTGCCCGACCGCCTCCCCATCCGCCTCCTCACCGAAGGCAAAAAGAACCAGAAAAGAGGTGAAAACTGGGTGGAAGATCCACAAGCTGTGTGCCTCCACGCCGGAGCCTCGGTCCCTGCTTCTACGCCAGGCCCCCTCATCTCGCCCAGGAAAGTATCCAGGACCTGCCATCCGAGACCTGACTCTCCACCCTCGCTGCTGGGCCCCCGCCTGCCCAAGCCCCTCTTCCCTGCCAAGGTTCTCGCAACGGCCCCCTTGGGATTCCCAAAGTGCGACAACATACCCAGGACGCCCCCTTTGCTCCGCAGACAAAGAGGCTGTGCCGGGCCCACCGCGCCACTCCTCGGCCCAGCCAGGCCCAAACAGCTTTCGAATTCGGTTTGCTAATATTTTATTGAGAATATTTGCAGGCACTTCTGGACTAGGGACCCGCTCCCGCTCTCCCACTGCAGGGTCAAAGTGCTCTGCCCCCTCCGCCCTCCTGGAAGATATCTTCCCCGCAGGGCGCCCCCTGCCCCGCGCCCTCACCCTCAGTGGGCTGTGGGGACTACAGGCCCAAGCAGGTGGAGGGAAGTTCTGGGTTCTGAATTCTGGACTGAGCGAGGTGCGCTGGTCTCAGCCGGCTGCACCGCCTGTAGCGGCGGCAGGAGTAGGAGAGAGGGAGGCACCCGGAGCGTGCGCGCACCAGTCTGTTCATATTTAATTTACAAAGGATCCTCGGAACCCCCGGTCGGGTGGCCTCTTTAGCTGCCGCGCTCCTCGCCCCTCTTTCTCCCCCACCTCCTCAGCTCATTAAAATGCTCAACACTCAAATCGGGAGATTGATCTCCGAGGCCCCAAACCCGTGCTATCGACCCGCTGCCAGAGACCCCACCTCCCGGGGTGAGAGCTGGAGGGCCACGGGCGTCCGAGGAGCTCAGTGTCTACAGAAAGGACCGAGGAAGGCGGGGTTCTGCATGTCTCCCGGAGCCTAGACCCCTTTCCAGATTCTGGCCAGCAACTCTGTCTCCAGGGCTGCCTTGGGCTTTGCAGGGAGACAGAAATAGAGTTTTAGCCAAAAGCCTCGACATTCCTGCGCCTCCACCTCCTTGTTGCTAAAAGAAATGTGGGGGTTTCGCCAGAGACAGGGAGTGAGAGTCGGGAACAGCGAGTACGAGTCTGCTGAGGCCGGCTGTTGTGTGAGGGTGTGAGACGGTGGGGCGGGGGCGGGCCGCGGAGGCTGTAGGGGACAGTGTGTGGGGTTGACGGTGTTTTTGCTTGTGAGGCTGTGAATATATTGGCGTGTCGGGGAGAGGCAGAGAGATACTCGCCTTAAGTTCCTAGCCCACAGTGCTCAAGAGGAGCAGAGGTTCTGTAACCATCCCTTTCGGTGCCGCTGTCTGCTGCAGTCCCGGGGCTCCATTCGCCTCCAGCTGGCAAGACCTGAAGATGAGGCGCTTGGTCCTCTCAGGCTGGTTTCCTGGGAGCGTAGGCTGATACCCGCCCGCGCCGCCCCACCCGGCGGGGCGCACAGGCCTGTGCCTTGGGCTTTGGGCTTCAACGCCGGTTTAGCCACAAAAGACGAGACTTAAGGAGTCTGGCTCAAGAGGTTGGCCAGGGGCAGAGGTGGGCCAGGGAGGAGGGCGTCCCTTCCCCGCGCACCCTGCAGGGCCATTCACTCTCGTCTTTGGGTTCTCGTCTACTGGCAGGCGGCGGGGGAGGCTGGGACTTGTATTTGCCCAGCTCTAGGCAAAAATGGCAGGGACGGTGAGGCGCTCTGCTAACACTATCAATTATGCATCGTGTTGAACGTGGCTTCGGGGAGGAGGCGGCTAGAAGGGAGGGGTGCGGGAAGGAAGGGACCGCGCGAGCCCGGCTGCGCGCAGCTCAGCGGATCCCCTCTCTAGGTCTGCCTGCGCCACAGCCTGCATTTGCAAAAAGAGTTTAAAGGCAAAGACAGGCCACCCCCACTTTAGTCGTGCGCCCTTCCTTCCCTCAAATTCCTCAAAAATGGTTTGTCTCACGTGTTGCGGGGCGTAAAAGCGGCTCACATTCAGTTAGCAGCGGAGCTCACTGGCCCTGGCGGGACCCGCGCGTGAGGGTGAGTACGCGTGAATGTGTGCGCGTGCGGGCGGGAGAGGATGGTGAGTGTCCTGGGTGAAGGTGTGCCTTTGAAAATGTGTGTGAACATAGCGAGAACTCAACACATGGACGCGATTATTACCTGGTGATGGCTAATTCCAACGTGAAGGTCGACTGCGTGGAGGATGTGAGGACGCGTGTGTCTGCGCGAATGTGTGAACGTGGATGGGCAGTGTGATTAGGGATAGTGGCGGTGTCTGCAGATGTGTAAATGTGTAGGGGCATGGGTTATAAGGGTGCCCTGAACCGGCAAGAGCCTAGAGGAGGGCAGTGGATGTGGGGGCGCCCCTTGTGACCAACGTTTTCTCGGCCAAGAGGAAACCCTCTATGGCTTTAACAAATGTCGATGATGCGGGAGGTGGGAGAGGCTGTGCGCGTTCCTGCCGAGCCCGGAGCGCGCGAGGACTCTCTTCAGTCTGCAGCCAGCGAGAGGTGGGGTGCACAGACACGAAAGGAAAAACTGAAGTGGGACTTCAGGGCCAGGGGAGTCCCCAACTTACCAGTCCCTTTCTCTGCCCCTCCCCCGTCTTCCCCACAGCCAAAGCAACAGATGCGGGAAGCACTTTGGGGCTGTCGTCCTGGCTCCGCGACATCAAGTCTGGAGAAGGGGTTGCAGACGAGGGCAGCGCACGGGGAATCAGCGAACAGCGGGTAAGCCGCGGGGACCGCCCTACGACCTCGACCCAGGTGGGGCCAGATCTCCCCTAGGGTGCCGGACCTCGCCGGTGCTGTCTGGGCCAGACCGAGAGAGAAGGGGAGGGGGTCCCTCCCCTCGGGAGCAAAGGCAGAGTTGGGGACCTGGGTTCCCAAAGAGCGGAGTGTGAGAGGGGCTCTGCCGAACCTCCCAAGAGCCCTAGGTGGGAGTGAGGAGTCTAGTGTGAGTGCGTTTGTGTGGCTGCAGATAAGAAGGTTTTATTGGAGGAAGGATCCTCAGGCATCGTGGAGCTGCAGAAAAGAGGCTTAGTTATCTAGTGGCAGCCCCCATGACCCCTTGGCTGGGGACCCCCTCCTACCCCTACCCTGGGAGCAGCCTGGGTTCTGCCAGATGGGAGGGAGAATCTTTAGTGATGTCCCCTAATGTTCCTGGTCCATGCAGGAGGCAGGACCTCCTTCCTCAGACAGAAGGTTGACTGAGCACCCCTGGTTCTCCTGTCTCCAGAGTTGCAGCCCAGGGCAGGTGGCTACAGTCTACTTCCCCGACTCCCATGCCCCTTGCCACTCGCCACAAGTTCTCAGCATTGCTGATCCGCTGGGATTTCAGTCTCAGTGGAGGGCTGTGTGCACGCGCAAGTGTGTGCCCGTGTCCCTGTGGATGGGTCGGTTGGTGGGAGGACTTGTGTCCTTGTGTCTGTCAATTCTCACAGTGAATAGGAAGGCGCTTTGCACCATGGTAGAGAATGCTGGACAAATGCTGGGTTCAGCTGAGAGAACAATGAGGTCTCCAGGGTATACTGTGTCAGTGTCTGGGTGTCTTTGTGTTTGTGTGTATGCGAAATGTGTTGTGAATCTCTAAACCCCTGCAGAAGTTGGTGGTTTGATGGCAGTGCCTGAGTGTGTGTTTGTATTGTTGTGTGCCTGTATGGGCGTGTGTGCGAGTGCTGTGTGTGGGACAAAGAGTTCGACGGAGGACAGCCGGTCACGGACAAAAAACCTCTTTCTGTATATCCCTTTTATGGAGTTAAAGGAAGGCTTAGAAACACAGATAGGGGTCAGTGCAGAGCCCAGGGAAGACTGGCGAGCGGCCGAGCCCGTGGTGGGGTCAGCGCCAGGGGAAGAGGGAGGTAGGGAAAAAAGGTCCAGCTACGAGGCCGCTGGAAAAGGAAGTCAGGGCCCTGAGAGGGTGTATGCATTGAATCTCGAGACTTTTATTGAGCTCCATTCGTGCCAGGAGAGGTTCCTGGGCACAGAGGAGAAGGTTACCAGAGCCCAGGAGCCTGCTCTAGATGGGTTTGCAGAGGCAGAGCTTGATAGAGGAAGGAAGGTGACGCTCCATGAGTCAGTCACCTTCTCCCCTCTTTCCCTGGCTTCTATCTGCAGGATCCGCGATGGTGCCCTTGCTGGTCCTGTGGTTGGTTTGGGCACTGCTAGGAGTGGCTGGAGCGTGCCCGGAACCGTGTGCCTGCGTAGACAAGTACGCGCATCAGTTTGCCGACTGCGCCTACAAGGAGCTGCGCGAGGTGCCAGAAGGACTGCCGGCCAACGTGACCACGCTTAGTCTGTCAGCCAACAAGATCACTGTGCTGCGGCGCGGGGCCTTCGCCGACGTCACGCAGGTCACGTCGCTGTGGCTCGCACACAATGAGGTGCGCACGGTGGAGCCCGGCGCGCTCGCTGTACTGAGCCAGCTCAAGAACCTCGACCTGAGTCACAACCTCATATCCAGCTTCCCATGGAGCGATCTGCGTAACTTGAGCGCGCTGCAGCTTCTCAAAATGAACCACAACCGCTTGGGCTCGCTGCCCCGGGACGCACTCGGTGCGCTGCCCGACCTGCGCTCCCTACGCATCAACGACAACCGGCTGCGTACACTGGCTCCTGGCACCTTCGACGCGCTAAGCGCGCTATCACATCTGCAACTCTATCACAACCCCTTCCACTGCGGTTGTAGCCTTGTGTGGCTGCAGGCCTGGGCCGCGAGCACCCGGGTCTCGTTACCTGAACCCGACTCCATTGCGTGCGCCTCGCCTCCCGCGCTGAAGGGGCTGCCGGTGCACCGCCTGCCCGCCCTATCTTGTGCACCGCCCAGCGTGCGTCTGAGTGTCGAGCCGCCGCCTGAGGCACCAGGCAGCCCCTTGCGTGCCGGCCTGGCACTCATGCTACACTGCGTCGCCGAAGGACACCCCACGCCCCGCCTGCAATGGCAACTTCAGATTCCGGGTGGCACTATAGTCTTAGAGCCGCCGGTCCTGAGCAGGGAAGACGAGGGGGACGAGGTGGAAGACGGGGAGGGGGAAGGAGATGGGGACGAGCCGACGCAGACGGAGGCCCCAACCCCGACTCCAGCACCCGCTTGGCCCGCGCCCCCAGCCACTCCGCGCTTCCTGGCTCTCACAAACGGCTCCCTGTTGGTGCCCCTCCTGAGTGCCAAAGAAGCAGGAGTCTACACATGCCGTGCCCACAACGAGCTGGGCGCCAACTCCACATCAGTACGCGTGGCGGTGGCCGCTGCCGGTCCCCCAAAGCACGCTCCTGGCGCAGGGGGAGACCCTGATGGGCAGACCCCGACCTCTGAGCGCAAGTCCACAGCGAAAGGCCGAGGCAACAGCGTCCTACCCTCCAAGCCCGAGGGAAAAATCAAAGGCCAGGGCTTGGACCGGGTTAGCGTCCTCGGGGAGTCCGAGGGGCTGGAGGAAGCGGAGGCAGGTGAGGGAGAGGAGGCGGAAGACCAGGTATCTGCGGACCCTGTGGAGGAGCAGCGGTGTGGCCACGGGGACCCCTCGCGGTACGTGTCCAACCACGCGTTCAACCAGAGCGCAGAGCTTAAGCCGCACGTCTTTGAGCTGGGCGTCATCGCGCTGGACGTGGCGGAGCGCGAGGCGCGGGTGCAGCTGACGCCGCTGGCGGCGCGCTGGGGCCCTGGGCCAGGCGGGGCAGCAGGAGCCGGGCGGCCCGGGAGGCGGCCCCTGCGCCTGCTCTATCTGTGCCCTGCTGGGGGCGGCGTAGCAGTGCAGTGGTCGCGGGTGGAGGAGGGCGTCAACGCCTACTGGTTCCGCGGCCTGCGGCCTGGCACCAACTACTCCGTGTGCCTGGCCCTGGCAGGCGAGGCTTGCCACGTGCAAGTGGTGTTCGCCACCAAGAAGGAGTTGCCCTCTCTGCTGGTTATCGTAGCGGTGAGCGTGTTCCTTCTGGTGCTGGCCACCGTGCCCCTGCTGGGCGCCGCCTGCTGCCATCTGCTGGCCAAACACCCGGGCAAGCCCTACCGTCTTATCCTGCGGCCGCAGGCCCCTGACCCCATGGAGAAGCGCATCGCCGCCGACTTCGACCCGCGTGCCTCCTACCTCGAGTCCGAGAAAAGCTACCCAGCAGGCGGCGAGGTGGGCGGTGAAGAGCCAGAGGAGGCCCCCGTGGAGGGCCTTGACGAAGATGCGGAGCAGGAGGACGCAGGTGGGGACCTGCAGAGGGAGGAGAGCCTGGCGGCCTGCTCGCTGGTGGAGTCCCAGTCCAAGGCCAACCAAGAAGAGTTCGAGGCGGGCTCTGAGTACAGTGATCGGCTGCCCCTGGGTGCCGAGGCGGTCAACATCGCCCAGGAGATTAACGGCAACTACAGGCAGACAGCGGGCTGAGCCCGGAGCCCGCCTGGCCCTCCCATTCCCATCCCCCACCTGGATGCCTGGGAGCAGAAGCCTAGGGCTGGCAGGATTTATGCCCCCCACCCTCGTCCCCGCCACCTTCACTTACTCTGCCCCCTTATGACCCCCTAACCTTGACTACCGGGGACTTCTAGTGGGGAGTGGGACGATTTCACCAGTCCGCCGCCACCTACGACCATAATTGTCCTTGTGGGCTGAATTCCCCTCCACGGCAAGCACAGTTCCCTGCTCCTCCCTCCCCATATAAGACATTACCCGCTGACCGTGAGGCGAAATCCACGCCTCTCCATTCCCATCGCAATTGTTACCTGCCCAGCAGCCGGCCCCATCGTGGGCTCTGGAGCCACAGGAAACCGGAGAAGACGTTGGAAACGTCTGGCGGTAACGGTGTGGCTCCAGGGTCAGCCCGGGACCCCTAGCAGATGTCCCTAGCGTGGAGCGCTGTGGGGTCCCGCCCCTACCCCTGCTCCGCCCTTTCCGGGGTGCACATCCCAGAAGCCAGGAGTCAGTGGTCACTCCCTAGATTTTACTTTCAAAGCCCTCTTCCGACTGGGAACCAAACCCTTCTATTCCCTACCCCCATTCAGCTTCCCACCGGCTGGAGCCGAACCCCGTGCCTGGGGCACCTTTCAGCTCCCCGCTCCGATTTTCATATTTTCGTTGTTTTCAAAGACAGCGACACTCCGGGTCTGGTGCTAACACTCCCTTCCCAGCCTCTGGGAAAACTGGGAGTGTGTGTGTGTCGGGTTTGGGGGGGGCGGGAAATGAAGCAGGGGGGGAATCCGTTTTCTCTCGCCCTCTCTCCTAACTTAAAGCGGTGCTGAACCGCGCGCCCTTTTTCCGCCGAGGGTGCGGGCTTGGTCCCGGGCCAAATTCGTTGTCGCTGAGTTGGGGTCTCCGGAGATCAGTGCACTCGACAGCTCCGCTTCCGCTGCTGTAAGACCGGCCCAGACGTCAGCTCGAAAAGCGCCAGCGCCGGGGGCATGGGAACTGTGGCCTCCTGGCTGGGTCTCTGGTGAGGACGTGCGCCCCGGTCCTCACAAAGCCTGCGCGTGACCGTGCGGCGGGATCCCGGTGGAGAAAAGCCCCTGCGTCCTCGCGTGTCCCACCCCCCCACCCCCCGGAAGAACAGTATTTGACCGGCGTGTAGTCCTAGACGAGTGTGCTCTGTAGGGGAACAGTCTGTGTCCTGTAAAGTGTGACTGTGTAGTGTAGGGGCAGGGAGGGAGGGAAGGGGAGGTGGGCCGCGGTGCGGCGACTCGGGCGGGGGTCTTTTTTCGTTCTGGAAGGAAAGCGTCGGGGTTGGGTGGGGGGTTTCCCGGGCGTGGGGACCAGCCCTGTCCGTGAAGCGCAGCACAAGTGCGGCCTGGGGCGGAGCAGTCCCCGGAGCCGCGCCCTTTTCTAAAGGCGTCTGTATGTAAACAGCCAATAAAACAATCGATTTGAACTGGGCTCGGTGACTCTTTGTCGGGGGACAGACGGAGGGACCACAGAAGGAAGGAGCCCTTGGGATCCTCCCGTTGGGATCCTTTGTGTGATTTCGTGTTCGTTGGACTGTCCGTGATTTCCCCAGGTGTTTCCATGCGGCGTGTGCTCTGGGTGCCTCCAACTGCGGGACGCAGGGGCGAAACCACGTGGGTCTGGGGGAGGCTGGAAGTGAGTGGGGAGGGTTTGTAGGGAGGGAGGGGTGGATCTCTGCAGAATGAACAAGGGGAGCGCGGGGTTGTGTGTGCGAGTGTGTTGTGTGTGTGCACAGTCCTGGGGTTGACGCTGTCGCTGTGATGGGACGTGGCTGTGTGTGTGAGGACTGCCTAGTTTCTGCGTCTCAGTACCAGCCTCTGTTTTCTCAGAGCAGCCAGCGGGGAGAGTCATAGGGGCAAGGCTGCTGGGGCTCGCACAAAAAAGGTCACAAGTAACACAAACTACAGAGCAGGCAAATGATGGAGAGCAGAAAGTGGGGTGGGGGCCCTGGCAAAACTGACTCCACAGAACAGGCTGGCGCCTTAGCCCAGGAAGCAAGTGTGTGCCCATGTGTGTGTTGGGGGAGGGTGCCCAGTGAATATGCATGGGCAACCGTCAGGGTGGGTGAGGTTCTTGGGGTGGGCTAAGGTGGATGCACATGTAGAATCAGGGTTGCAAGCACACTGATTTAATAGTCCTAGAAGTGGGGCTTCTAGGGTGGGCAACAGGAGAGACAGAGGGATCAAGAGTGGATGCTGTGCTACAGTGCTGGAGCTGGGCTGACTATGTGTTTCAGCTGAATTGCCCCCACGGGATTAGGGAGTAGCTGGGAAGGGAGGTGGAAGAGGAAAGGAATAGAAATGAGGGGAGCAGATGAAGATTCCATCCCTACTCTTCCTTCTTCCCTCTTTCAATCTCTTCTCATCCCTCATCGTCTCTGTGGATATCAGGTCTTCCTAACTGGACCAGTCTAGGCTGGGGCCCAGGCCCAGGTCCAGATACCCAGTATCTTATCCTCGCCTGTCTCCTGGCAGAGGTGGTAGCTGTGACACTTCCCAGGGCCAGACCCCAGGTTCCCTTCTCAAACCAGCAAAGCTGTCTCAGGGATAAATCCCCTTCTGAAGGTCACAGCCCTAACCCTGCCACTGCAGCCCACCCCACTGTCAGCAACACAGCTCAGAAATACAATCTTTTAGGAAGAGGGCTGCTTTGTTCCACCTGCAAATGCTGGCTTCGAACAGGGGACTTAGACAGGGACTGACCCGATTCCTGTGATTGGTTCAGGAAACCACCTATGTGATTGCGTTTGGGCACAGGCCTGGCTGGGCCCTTGAGAGCCTGTCGATTTGGTCCAACACAATCCTCTGGTCATTGGGGGTGGGGGGAGGAAGGGCTCTTTCCTGTACCCCCGTCCTAAGGATTGAGAGCCCTCCTGGAGATGCCTAGGATCCTGAATGCCCCCAGGGAAATGTGCAGAATTGCTGAGAGTTCCGTCCCTTCTTTGTCCTGAGCCAAGCTTCCTAATGGATGGACACAGACTGCCCAGCTAGGCCTCATGCTCCCTGGGCAAGGCCAGGCCCAGAGGCTCAGCCCACAGGCCCAGAATGGGTGGGTGCTGGAGGTGGAGGATCAGCGTGCTGTGACATTCTGCTGACTGCCCACTGAGATACCAGCCCTCTCAGGAACACTCCATTTCCTGCCCAAATGTTTGGCACATGCACACAATGGTCCCTAGCCTCTGGCCTTCCTTTCTGTCTCCTTTTACATTTTATTCTTTCATTTCTTGCTCCTCTCTCCTCTATGTTCTCTTTTTCTTTCTGCCTCTCCCTTTTTTCTTCCTCAAGGAATCTCATAAAATCCCAGGGTTGGAAGGGACCCTGGAGACTTCCTAATCCAACTATCCATTTGAGGCTAAATTCTTTTTTACAGTGTCCCCATCAGGTGGCTGTGCAACCTCAGCTTGTACTTATCCAGAAACAGAGAGCTCACTATTCACTCCCTCCGGCCAAGGAGCCAGTTGTCTCTCCCTCGCTTCCACACCTCAGGCCTGACTGCCACTGGCACGCTGCTCTGTGAGAACCTGTGGAGGTTTGCAGGTGGAAGCCCCACATCCACCCCTCACTCCAGGGCTCCAAAGCTTTTCATTCAGTGCACATTTTTTTGAGCTTCTACTTCATGCTTCCAGGGTGTTGCTAGTTTAGCTCTCTACAGAGTGTTTTGTCACAAAACTTATTTAGAACATGTTATAGTCTACACAGAAATGGAAATATAATGATGAACACCTGAAACTTATATGATGTTATAGACCAGTGTTACCATAATAAAATTTTTTTTTATTTGGATGCTACATAGGAATGGAGTCTCATGGGTTGAGAAGTGTGTGTGTGTGTGTGTGCGCCTAAGTGTTTCCTGGGGGGACCTGGAAAATGGTCAGAGAATGCAATATGACAGCAGTAGCCTTGGAACTCAGAGCAATTTATCAGGAGCAGTAATTCTTTGAGCTACAGAAACCAGATGCCCAGGATGTGGCCATGAATCAGATGGGAAAACTGTCTGCAGAAAGGTGATTTGAAAGGAGCACTCTCCTCCTGCCCCGCCCCCCCCCCCCCCACCTCTATAAGTGTCTCCTAAAGATCAGCTGGAATGAGAACCATTTTGAAGATCATTAGAGAAAGTCCATTAATTTAAAAGGACAAAGGGAGGAAGGGCTTCTTTGAAGAAGCAGCAGCTGGTGTGGGGGCCTCTCCTTCCTGATCTTGTGCCTAGAATGCAGCCCTCACCCATGACATCCCAGTAACAGCCACAACTAAAGCTAACATCTCTAAAGTTTACTTGAGTCAGTAAATGTTTGGACTGTTACTCTCTGGTGGTGATGCTGATCTTGGTTTTCCCTCCTGGATCTCAAGGTAATGCATTTTGGTAGGTAAAGGAAGGAGGATGGCATCTTGCTATGACTGCCTTGCCCCAGATTTGTTAATATCAGAACCCCAGTTATGAGACATTCCATAGGGAAACAGGGACCTTCTGTCTGCACAACAGGAGGCATCACCTGCAGAGAAAGAACCAGGACTGCAGGAGCACTGAGCAAGAGAAACTGGGGGACCTCACCCTTTCAGGGATGGGGTGCACTCTTGGCGGAAAAAGCCAAGTCCAGGTATGAGGAAAGAAAGAAGGGTCCTATGTAGAGGCCATAAATTGCCAAATCTGACCTAACAAATACTTGTACCTTGTCAATCTTCAATATGAAGTTATTGACAGGAACAATTGTGCTGGAAAATTGAGGATGGAGCAAGCAGAGCCATTTCAGTTGTAATGTGTCAATTAATTGATTGCATTTGCAACACACCCACCCACACAAATGTGTTCAATGACAAGATTTTGCCTTAGGACTCAATAGAGAATCACATTATATTAAAAATGAAAGATCTACTATGACTGGCATATAAAAAAGATTGAATTATAAAATGTCTTGCAATATTAGCATTTAGTTCGAAATATGGCCAGTGTTCTTAATGAGATTTGATATGAATTTAAAAAAAAAAAGTCATCCAAAGAGGCCACGGTGGGTAGAACGTAAAATCAACTTTGGGTTAAATTAGCTGGAAAGACTTTGTATCATCCCCTGGTTGAATAAGTAATTTAGGTAATTTAAAGATGGTCTGATTTTTTAAATTGTGCTAATGGTGTGTGCTTTGTCTGGACACGTGAATATAAGATTAATAATTAAGTTTAAGTCCATATGGAATAAGGACAATGAAAGTGTTTATATTTTTATCAACTGTTTGCTGCTTAAACACATCCCCTTGTGTATTAGGAGTTAATTTGGTTTTGGCAAATTAGATGCATATTCTCTTAGCAACACTCTAGCAAACTGGCCCTTAAATTGAGTCTAAAAGCCATTCAAGCCTTCCAACCATTTGAGAGAAAAACTACCACAATCATAGAGATCAGAGAGGAACTTCCTAAGAATTGATTAGTGTTGAAATGGGGAAAGAATGAGAATGGAGAATTAATTATCAATGCTTTTTAATAAAAGTGGCTTATCACGTATTTTGACTGGCTAAAAATGCTAATAGTCACCTAATATTAATATAAATATTAATAATATCAATAGTAGCTAACATTTATTGAACACTTACCACATTCAAGGCACATACTATGGAATGTATAAACGTTGTTTCATTAATACTTACAATAATCTTGTGAGGTGGTAATATTATTATTACAATTTACAGACAAAGAAACCAAAGAGTGGAGAGGGTTAGTAATTTGTGGAAGGTCACACAGCTGGTGGTTTGCAGGGTTGAGGTTTGCACTTCAGTCGTCTGATTCCAACCCCAGAGCTCCCAGCCACCAAGCCAAACCTCCTTCCAAGAGCTCTGTAAATCAGTTTAAGCGAAGGATAATGTATTTTATATATTGTTAAATTTTCTGCTAATTACGGAGTTTGTCTAGACAAAGGGTTTCTCTTGCTGCCTCTCTTATTTCTCAAAATAGCATTTTTATTTTTTTTTACTGATTATAAAAGTTACATACATTTAAAGTAGAGCTTTCTTTTGTTGCTGTTGAGAATGTAAATGGTTATAGACACTTTGAAAAAATCTTCAACAGTATACTAAAGGGAAGGATACATATGCCTTATGATTCAGCAATTTCACTCCAGGGCATACACCCAATACAAATGAGTGCTTGAGTCCACCAAAAGACTCACTTGTCACAAGTGCAAGAATGTTCATAGTGGCTTTATTTGTAATAGCCCCAAGTTGGAAATAACCCAAATTTCCACCAAGAGGAGAATGGGGCTGAAGGGAGGGATCTGTGGCATAGTCATACAATGGACCACCACAACTGCAGCTCCGCACAACGGCGTGGAGGTCATAACGTGGCGTGAAAGAAGCCAGACACAAAGAATATGTAATGCATAATTTCATTTACATGCAGTTCAAGTATAGGCAAAACTAATTTTGGGGAAAGAAGTCAGAATAGTGCT